GCCCAGCGCGCGCGCCAGCGGGAAGAACACGGTGTAGACGGATTTGGGATCCAGCTGGGACGTCAGGAACAGCCAGAAGCGCTCCAGCCAGGCCGGCCCGGCCTGCAGGGCCACGGCGGCGCGGATCCCCGCCTCGTGCAGGGCCTCCATGGCACCGGGCTGGGCACAGCGGGGACGGGTCAGCCCGGGCACCGACGCCGGGAGTGCCCTGGGGACGGGCTGGGAGGGGGTGGATCCCCGGGGATCCCGTGGGGATGGGGATGGATCCCTGGGAATCCCTTGGGAACGGGGATGGATCCCCGGGAATCCCTTGGGAACGGGGATGGATCCCCTGGGAATCCCTTGGGGACGGGCTGGGAGGGGGATGGATCCCTGGGAATCCTGTGGGGATGGGGATGGATCCTTGGGAATCCCGTGGGGATGGAATGGGGATAGATCCCTGGGAATCCCTTGGGAACGGGGGTGGGATCCCTGGGAATCCCTTGGGAACGGGGGTGGGATCCCTGGGAATCCTGTAGGGATGGGGACGGATCCCTGGGAATCTCATGGGGATGCCGTGGGAGGGGATGGATCCCAGGGATGCCCTTGGCACTGAGGGGAATGGATCCTCATGGATCCCAGGGGTGCCTTGGCACTGAGGGGAATGGATCCTCATGGATCCCAGGGGTGCCTTGGCACTGGCTCAGGCACTCACTGACCACCTGAAGCTTGCCCAGAAACGGGTGCCCAGCCCCTGCCCGGGGGCAGGACACGCCTCTGCTGGCTCTGGGATGGGGCCGGGGCAGCATCCCGGGGATTGCTGTGGGATTTGCTGTAGCAGCCCAGATGCTCCAAAGAGCCACCACCGCCCTGGGGCCTTCCCTGGAGACCTCCTGGGGCTCCTGTGGGCGTTCTGCAGAAGGCCTGGGGAGTCCCTGGAGCCTCCCTTGCTATTCCCTGAGGATTCCCTGGGCTCTCCCTGCAGCGGCTCCTGGGCATCCCTGAACATCCCTGGGCATCCCTGAGCATCCTTGAACATCCCTGGGCATCCCTGAACATCCCTGGGCATCCCTGAGCATCCTTGAACATCCCTGGGCATCCCTGAGCATTCCTGAACATCCCTGGGCATCCCTGAACATCCCTGGGCATCCCTGACCATTCCTGAACATCCCTGGGCATCCCTGAACATCCCTGGGCATCCTTGAACATCCCTGGGCATCCCTGAGCATCCATGGACATCCCTGACCATCCCTGGGCATCCCTGACCATCTCTGAGCATCCCTGACCATCCTTGGGCATCCCTGGGCTCCCTCTGGGCTCCCTCTGGGCCTGCCTGGGCTCTCAGGCCCGAGGCCTCCCTGGGCTCTCCCTACACCAAGACCCCCGGTCTCCCCGTCCCCACCGGCGGGCTCTGCGGCCCCTGCGCCTCCCGGAGGCGCTGCCCAGCCCCGGTACCGGCGGGCGGTACCTGAGGGGCGGATTCCATCCCGGCCGCCCCTCAGCGCTCCCTCCCGCCGCTCTCACCGCCCTCTTCCGCCTACACTTCCCAGCACCGCCCG